CTAGAACTAAGCAAATTTATACTGAGATAGAAGTCAATATCCTTTCAGTTAGTTTTGAACCAGAGTATGTTTGTCTTGAATTCCCTTGATTTGTAATGGCAAGAATGTTAGGACCAAAACTTTTTTTAGTGTTGACAAGTTAACAGCATTTATTATATTGTCATTTGCTTGAATGACCCTAATTAAACAGCTTCCTACGTACAGAAGCTGTCTAGAACAGAAGTGTTTATTGGGTTAAGTTAGGCACAGGGCCTTTCTACCTTCTTTTTTTTTTTTAATCTATTCTCCTTCCATTTTCAGTTAGGACTGAAACTGAAGTCTTCTATTTAGGAGACTCTTCTCATCCACCGTTACATCCAAATCACCTCTTTATTGAAAAATCACAATGGAAAACAGCTCATAAATTCCAATAACCTACTTTCAAACCATGGAATAAAACCTAACCAGCCTTTTCCCTTCCTAAAAGAAAGTATTCCTTAATGTGGAAACTTCAGGTATCAGTTACAAGTTGATGAAGGAAACATTTTTGGACACAGAAGGTTACAGAGTACCTTTTTGGGGTGGTTGTATTTGGCTTTATCTTTATCCCATTATAAAAAGATCTTCATAATCAGACAGTTACTTTTGAAAACTCTACAATTTCTATTAGAATGCCTGTATTCCCATTAAATAAGGGATTGCTGTTCCTTGGAAGACTGAAGAAAACTTGGTTCAAATTCTGATTCTGTCTTGTGAATTCTCTGAACCTCCATTTTCTTCATCTATAAAATGGAGATGGTGATGCCTTGCCTCACAGGGCTGCTGTAAGTTAATGTTTGCAAAGCCCTTAGTGCAGTGTCTGGCACATTTAAGTACTCAGTAAATTATAACCATTTTTACTACTTCTTAAAGGTATTGTTTTAATGTAGTAGTTTCTGTGAGTGTCATCCTCTTCATTTGTAAAACATGGAAAATACTGTCTGTCTCAAAGCTTTTTTTGTGCCAGAAGGAAATGTTTGTCAGCACTCACCATAGGACCCACAAATGGTAACCTATAAGGGGAACAACAATTGTTGTTATTAAAAGCCATCATATCATCATCATTATCATCATTCATGGCAAAGCTGTGGGAGGAAAAGTGGCAAAGGTCAAAAGGTATCTTTGAACTTTTGACTATTATGATGAAATTCTGAAACAGAAAAAGGTGGAAAAAAAATCCATTGAAGTTGCTTAGGTTTTGATTCTCTTTTTAGACCTTTTGCTTTCCTTTCATATTCTGTCTTGTTCGGCTTTTCCAAAGAAATAAAGAGACATGAAAAAAACAAGATTGATAGAATTTGCTATATTAAATTTTCCTGATGCTGACCTCAAAATGGAAGTCACAGATCTTTTTTTTTTTTTTTTTTAAAAAAAGGTGTGCCCTTAAATGTTGTTATAAATACTTGTTCTTAGCTTCTGACCTCAATTTTTGCAAAGAAATCAATTTTGGGTAATATTTCCTACCGCTTCCTTAGCTAATGGCTTTCCAAAGTTTCCATACTACTAGCTTGGTACCTAGTCAAAACATTTTCAAGAAAGCCAAACCAAGCCATGATGTTTTGTTGTAAGAACGGCTTTATGTCTTATGAATTCATGCACCACTGGGCTGGGTAAAGGTAGATGATAGCTTACAGTGAGACAAGAGTCATCTGGTAATTTGGCATTGAATGGCTTTTGTTTATTCCTGAGAACAACACTCTTTCCTCCCACAGCTGCTTTGTGAACACATGGAGATAATTTTATTTTTATGTACTGCTTTGTAAACCAACTTGTACTTTTCAGCTAGTGTTTTACCAAACACATTCATCTAACTTGCATGACTGAACATTTCTCCCATAATCTGTAAGAGAATGATTTGGTGTTGTGGATAACACAGATGCTTCCTAATAGCCAAGGTTTCTACCAAAATCTTTACATTAAGTTGTGCAGTGTAACAAGCTAAAATTCTAATACTCTATACAATTGTTATCCTTTAAAATTAAATGACCTGTTAAATAGAAGATATTAAATTCAGGTACTCTGAAATGCCTGTTTTGAGGCATTAGAGAATACATTTAACAAACCTTGACATCATAGATGGATCTGGCATGTAAAGAAAATTTGTGCAATACAAATGAATTTTTCTTATCCACTTCCAGGTATAAACTATTTCTCAAAGCCTAAGTAAGTACACACTGACTCTAGCGTTAGAATGCTTTAGTTTAACCACTATACTTCTTGCTTTCCAAATATGAACTTTTGTGGGGGGAGAGCGATTAGTTTTATATAATGTTGTAAGTTTTGATGACTATCAGCTCACAAAAGCATGAATTCCTATATAAATTAAAACTGAAAGTGAGCTTATTAAATTTAGAATTATGCAACTTGGATATGAACTCCTTTTCCAGACTCTCTTACGAGTTTAACATATAACTTAAATACAATAAAACTGTGAGTAAAAACTGTGACACTACATTTATATCCTAAGTACAGAAATTCAGTTTAGTCACACACCATGTCTGTAGCAGAAAACAGTCATTTCTTGTAGTTAATTGTATAGAAAATGTAATCTAGACTACCTTAAAAGGGATCAGGTTTCTATGCACAGGAACTATGCAGTCTTTAAGGAGCTAACAGGTCTTGAAATCTTGTCCATTTCATAAGAAGAGTAAGACAGGGGTCACATGTAAGTGAATCAACCACTTAATCTGACCGAGAAAGGAATAACATTAAGGAAAAGAAAATCACTCTCTTTGGTGATCTTATTTTACTTTTAAGCATTTAGATTATGTTTCTATTAAAAATTGTTATCTCTTAATTTTTAATTCAGCACATCCTCTTATTTTTAAAAGTGGAAGTAAATGATTAAGTATATGCTGTAGTTTATGGGATAAACAATTTCCAAAATCCTGAAGAAGGACAAACTTCTTGATTGGGATATACTAAAGAGAAAAATCCACTTTTCTCCTACAAATTATCCTAAGTTCACTGATATTTAATGGCAGTCATAACAATAAGAAAAATGATTTGTTTTGGATTTGTTTCAAGATAGTCAATTAAATTATAAATCAGATTAGGTTGTAACTGAAATATCTACTATTTTCTACCATATTTCAATAGAGTTGAAAATCCATTAACTTCAAATGTTAGCTTATAATAAACAAAATATAATGAAACCACAAGTTTAACTTGACAGACGTTCATTGTAGGAATATACACACAGATTTACATGCACATATTTCTTTACACAAAGAGCCATGATCTGATTTACCATCTAACATTCTTGCCATATGTTCAGTGCCATGACTAGTGTGTAAAGACAAATATCTCTTTATTAGCAAGTGAATAAAGCTTATTGGTCTGTGGTTCACACTAGCAATGTAGCCATAATGCCATGTTTTTAAATTTGTTTCTGGAAGTTGTTTCTTTTTAACTGCCTTTATTCACCATACATATCTTCATATTTAGAATTATAGATGTTTCTGGGGTAGATTAGTAGATAGGTTCATCGATAGATATGTTATAGTATAAAAGTTGATAAAATAATATTATCACCATTAGGAATAGCAAATTCAAAAATCAACGTTCTGTTTATGCATATGTATTAAAGAAAGTCAACTACTGAATATTTTCATGTAAGACAAAATCTCTATATTTAAATTATATTATCAGCTGTGGAAGTATTAACTAAGCCAGAGTCCCCAGTGGAGTGCAAGTTCTCATAGACTTTGAAAGCTGGAGTCTATTGAAAGATCTAACTACTGTAACTACACAGAAAACGTTTGCATTTAAGTGTTACCGACTTTATCAAAGTTAGACCATTTACCAGAAAGAAATTAGTAACTTTGACAAAGAGGCTCCTAAATGGCCTGTTTTTAAATACATAAGTCAGATTATGTCAACAGTTCAGTGGCCTCTCATGTTATTCAAAGTAAAACCCTTGTAGGGCTTTGAGTGACCTTTCCCTACCCCCACCTCTGGAATCTCCTCTCCTACCACTTTTCTCTTTGCTCATTTCATTACAGTCACAATAGCCCTTTTCTTTTCTTGAACAAGTCAAGCATTCTTCTGTCTCAGAGCATATGCACTTGCTGCCTGGAGCACTTTTGCTGCCCCAGATGTTGGTAGGATTTATTTTCTCACTTCCTTCAGCTCTCTGCTTAAATCAGTTAATAAAGTAGGTCTTCCTTGACCACTGTATATTAAAACAATAGCAACCATAAAAATGTCCTCCCTTTATCACCTCTGAGGGTTCTCATCTCTCTCATCCTGCTTTATTTTACTCTGTAGAACTTATTACCACATATATTTTTGCTTATGTGTTTAAGTCTATGTCTCCTTATAAGAATGTAAACTCACTGAAGATTGAAGCCAGGATGTTTTGCTTTTTATATTTTTATTGCTAGGCAACTCATACCAAAACAGGGATGTTGTTTGTTTTTTTTCAGTGCTGTATTCTCAGTGCCAAAGTATTGCTTGACATATAGCAGCTGCTCAATAAATATTTAATTGAATGAATGAACAATACAACTATATCCAGGACCAAAATAACGTGCTATTCCTTCTTCTTCCCTCCTGCAAATGTTAGCACTGGCTCAGTCTTTAGTATTGGTTTTATGACATTCCCTGCCTATTGTGTTCATATTTTTAGCCCCCAACAAAACACATAGCAGGTGTATTAAGTGATACCATGCTTTTAAAAATTCCATATATTTTTTAAAGTTAAACATACTCTATCTCCTGCCGGATAGTGATGGAGTAGTTTCTACTGTCACTGCCAGGCCTTAGGATCATATTTCCCAAGGAAGGGTTCTTCTGGAGCATCTCAGTTGCCTCTTTCCGGGACACTGCATAAAAACATCTACAGAGGTGAGATTAAAAAACAGAATTGATTTTTAACTGATGAAGATCATTACTTGAAAAAAAATGCTACCAAAATAACTTTGAAAGCTGCAGTTGTTAACTTTTCTTAAAACTTCTGGCTTTATTAATGATCTATTATTACAAGCCTATGCCACTCTGAGTATGCTAACATTAAGGCCTTCCTTCCTTAATTCTTTCAAAGCCTTTTTATACAAAGGCTATCTACTGATCACTATATAATCACCATTACCATTTGAAAATCTGCAAGAATTAACAATATATTCCAGTCTCAGTTGACAAATAGGTTCTTGGATAAATATCTGTTGGGGGGTTTCCTTTCAGGGATATAATACATGTAAATGTTTCTCTTGTATGGTCTATGTTTTATACAACTGATATTTACGTATGTCTGAACTCACTTCTTTTGGTATAATATGTCTTTCTATGGCATTGTTATTTTTATATGCAAAAAAATTAAACACTTCTCATTTTTATAATATGCAGATGCTCCTTGAATTATGATGGGATTATATCCTCATAAACCCACTGGAAGTTGCAAATATTATAAGCTGAAAATGCATTTAATACACATAACCTACTGAATATCATAACATAGCCTAGCCTATGTTAAAAATGCTTAGAACACTTACATTAGCCAATAGATAAGCAAAATCATCTAATAGAAAGCTTATTTAAGATCAAATGTTGAATATCTCATCCAATTTATTGAATACTGAAAGTGAAAGACAGAATGGTTGTATGGGTATTCAAAAAATAGAATTTATACTGAATGCCTACTGCATTTGCATCATCTCAAAGTCAAAAAGTCGTTTAACCGTTGTTCAACCTATACAGATCACCTGTATATTGTAGTCAAGAAAATATATAGTCATATTCATAGGAAAAAAAAACCTCATAGAAAAAATATGGCAGGAGGCTGGACATGGTGGCTCGCACCTGTAATTCCAGCACTTTGGGAGACCAAGGCAGGTGGAACACTTGAGCTCAGGAGTTTGCAACCAGCCTGGGCAACATGGCAAAAACTCTGTCTTTACAAAAATACAAAAATTAGCCAGGTGCGGTGGCAGGCGCCTGTGGTCCCGGCTACTCAGGAGACTGAGGCACAGTAATCGTTTGCGCCCCGGAGGCAGAGATTGCAGTGAGCTGAGATTGCACAGCTGCACTCCAGCCTGGGTGACAGAGTGAGATAGTATCTTAAAAAAAAATTCCCCCTCAAAAAATATGGTAGAATATCAATACACTAAAATGTTGATAGCAAATATCTCTCAGTGGTGGTGGAACAAGAAATTATTTTAACCTTTTATACATAATAAACATATATTACTTGTTTTATTGAGAAAAAAGAAAAATTAGCAGTCTGTGTGACTTTTTTTTTTTTAACCTATCAGTCTGTCAGTTGCCAGTGGTTTCAGGTAAACGTGATGGTTGGTAGGTTTCAGGGATTATAGTACAGATAAGAGTATGCAACAGAACCTTATGTCAAAGAGAGTACAAGGACAGTTTTTAGGACAACACCACCAAGATTCCAGGAGGAAAGAGCTCAGAATCTTTTCAACAATATAAAAAATAAAAATAAAAAAATAAAATAAAAACATTAAAAAAAGGCTGGCATGATGGCTCACGCCTGTAATCCAAGCACTTTGGAGGCCAAGGTGGGCGGATCACCTGAGGTCGGAAGTTCAAGACCAGCCTGACCAATATGATGAAACCCCGTCTTTAAAATATTTATATATATATGTATATATATATATATATACATATATATATATAAGATGTTGGTGAATTTAGCATTTTCTGCACCTCTTTATTTTCCAGCACCTTACACATTTTACCCAGGTCCGTTGCCAAAGTACAAGCTCAATGACTACTCACTGATTGACGACTGGTCAGTTGAATAGAACATTTTAGGTTTTTAAAATTTATTGGTATAATTTTCTGATAGAAAATCAGTCAATCATAGAGTTTGCATAGTGAAAAAATATATTTTCCTGCCTTCTTCATAGGAGTTTTTATTTAGGTGTGAGCTCTGGAAAGAGTATCTATTTATTCTAAAAACGTGGGTGGAAGGGGATTTCCTGTGTGGTAAGAGGGTTAGTTCAAATTTGCATTTTGTTGATCATGACATAGAAGAGGAAATGTGCCATGTACTCAGAGATATACAGTTTATCCCCAAGACTGCTTATTGTCCCTGTCTTAACAGGATCAAGTGGCTAACTCTCCTTGATAATTGGAATTTAGTTTCAATAACAATGAATAAACTGCAGTTCATTGTGCACTTACGCTGGCATAGGGTTCAGTACATCCACATAATCTTCAGTTGATTCCTTCTCCTTTTCCAGAGATGTACTCTGCTCTGTCTCAATCCTCCTTTTCTTTTCTCTCTCTAGGACCTCATGCAGTTTAATTACTTGCCCGGGTAGGAGTGACACATTTTGGGGAACTGACAGCTGAAACCAATGAAACGAGTAGGTAGGCAAGAAAACAGCTTAATAACTTACAACTTTAGTAAAGATGAGCCTGTTCTGGTCCGACAGGGCTACAGTTACCTGACAGAGGTGGATGAATAGGGAATAAGAAATAGAGGATTTTAGTCTAGGGTGGGTGTCTCAGAACTGCCTCTAGACCAACTACAACCTGCACAAAGTGCCTCCCCTTCTTCCAAGGAATCTTCCTTTTGATTTGGTCCCAAAGCAAAGAACATCCCACCTTGCACTACAAGCTGATTCAAGTAACAACAAACCGCACATTTTTCATTCTGAGCTCACTTGTTCATCAATGCCAGGGAAGTTTCAGAACACCTTCAAGGTGCCTCACTCTCTCACAAGTAATCCAAAATGATTTGCCCAAGCCACAAGACAACATGGGATTCAGATGGAACTGCTGATTCGTTGACTGAAGGTGAGCAGTCAGAGGTCTCTATTGTGTGTTCGTGGTGTGTTTCAAACATTCATTCACATGTTGGAATTTCTACTTACTAGTTGGTTTTGTGGTGGTTGTTACCTTTCCTAGAGATGTATTTTGGATTGACTCACCCATATTTGTCCTTCTGATTTATATTCATACCTCCAATTTTGACCTCATTATGACCAGCTCTGTGCTCTTGGAAGGTGTAGTTTGAATGGTAGGATATTTGTTTTATGTGACACTAGCAAGTCTGTATTTGGAGGTAGCCTTGTGTGATTATCACCAAGGGGTGCATGCTTTCCAGGAGGTATACAAGAAAGTCCATTAGAGTATATGAAGAAAACATTAGTAGAACTTCACTTTCTATTGTTACTATTTCACTAATTTCTATTATTATGTATGTTTTAATATGTGTATGAGTACATATAAAATTTACATAAATATTTACTAATAGGGATACGCAATAAAAAAAAGCTTAGAGACATTTTAGATAACTAAGCTAATAACCAGTAAAACAATTTCTGTATATACCAGAAAAAATAAAATAATGTGGGAAAATACCTAATGAAACACATATCTTTATTAATTGACTATTATAGCTCAAGCATTGTACATGTTTTATTGTAACTCCTCACAGAAATGCTACAAGGTATTGCTATGCAGGAGGGCACACTGGCTCATGCCTATAATCCCAGCACTTTGGGAAGCCAGTGAGGGTGGATCTCTTGATGTCAAGAGTTCAAGACCAGCCTGGCCAACATGGTAAAACCTGTCTCTACTAAAAACACAAAAGTTAGCTGGACAGTGTGGCGTGATCCTGTAATCCCAGCTACTTGGGAGGCTGAGGTAGGAGGTCTGCTTGAACTGGGAGGGAGAGGTTGCAGTGAGCCGAGATCAAGCCACTGCACTCCAACCTGGGTGACAGAGCAAGACTCCCTTCTCAAAAAAAAAAAAAAGGTATTATTATCCCCAGTTTACAAATGGTGATATAGTTTGGATATGTGTTCCCACCAAAGCTCCTGTGCAATTAGCCTCAGTGTTGGAGGTGGGGCCTGATGGGCAGTATTTGGGTCATGGGGATGAATCCTTCATGGCTTGGTGCTCTTCTCATATTACTGGGTGAATACTTGTAAGATCTAGTCATTTAAAAGTGTGTGGTACCTCCTTCCCCACTCTCTCTCTTTCTTACTCTCACCATGTGACATATATGCTTCCCCTTCATCTTCTGCCATGAGTAAACGCTCCTTGAGGCCCTTCCAAGAAGCTAAGCAGATGCTGGCACCATGCTTTCTGTATAGCCTGTAGAACCATGAGCCAATTAAGCCTATTTTCTTTACAGATTACCCAGTCTTAGGTGTTTCTTTATGATAATTCAAGAATGGCCTAATACAAATGGAAAAAAAAGAAAGATCAAGCTCAGAAAGATTAAATAACTAGTCCAGAGTCACACAGCTAGTAAGTTATGGAAAGGATGCAAACTGAGGTTTATTTGATTCAAAAGCAATGTTTCAGCTCTTTGAACTACATACAATCTGAGCTTCTCTCACTTCTTTTTTTTTTTTTGAGATGGAGTCTCATTCTGTCTCCCAGGCTGGAGTATAGTGGCTCAAACTCGGCTCACTGCAGCCTCTGCCCGGGTTCAAGCAATTCTCCTGCCTCAGCCTCCCGAGTAGCTGGGACTGTAGGTATGCACCGCCAGGCCCAGCTAATTTTTGTATTTTTAGTAGAGACATGGTTTCATCATGTTGGCCAGGATGGTCTTGATCTCCTGACCATGTTATCTGCCTGCCTTAGCCTCCCAAAGTGCTGGGATTACAGGCATGAGCCACAATGCCCGACCATCTCTCACTTCTCTACTAAAGTTATCCTAATAACAACATATTGTAAATGTTCATATACCATGATCTGGAATCACAACACAAAACAACATTTACAGTGTACAAAATTTGAGGCAACTTGTCTTCTCTTAAAAATTCACATAGGCTGGGCATGGCGGCCCACACTTGTAATCCCAGCACGTTGGGAGGCAGAGGCAGGAGGATCTTGCCTGACTTGAGGTCAGGGCTTTGAGACAAGCCTGACCAACATGGTGAAACCATGTCTCTACTAAAAATATATTTTTTTAAAACTTAGCGAGGCCTGATGGTGGGTGCCTGTAATCCCAGCTACTCAGGAGGCAAAGGCAGGAGAATAGGTTGAACTCAGGAAGTGGAGGTTGCAGTTAGCCAAGATTATGCCACTGCACTCCAGCCTGGGTGACAGAGTGAGAACCCATCTCAAAAAAAAAAAAGAAAAAAAAGAAAAGAAAGAAAAAAGAAAGTAAGACAGAAAGAGAAAGCAAAGAAAGAAAGAAAGAAAAAGAAATAAAGAAAGGAGGGAAGAGGAAAGTATTTTTGAATATGATGTATTAGCTACAAATATCAGAATATACAAAGGACCATTGAGTCAAATGGATAAGACCAAAAAGTAAATCTCCTTTACCACCTGTTACTCCCTAGCAAATTGCCTTATTTTCTTCCTAACAATTATCACAATATGAAATGATCATCTGTTTACTTATTTACTTTCTCCCTCTCCACCATCTGATAAAAATATAACTTTCATAAGTAAGTACAAAGGTTTAGATCTATCTTTTTCAATTGGTATATCTTCAGCCATTTTCACTCTGTACGGTCCATAGGGTGTTCAGCAATATTTGTTGAAAAAAATGAATCAACCAAAAGCAGTGAGCGTCCTACCTCTGTTACTGTAAGAATGAAGCCTCTCCATTCTTCCCCACTTTCTGTGTTCTCTGTCTAAAGTTGAAGACAAAAGCAGATGAAGCCAAAGAAGGAAACACATGAGTGACTGAGCATAAAATAAATAATTATGACTGAGCATAAAATAAATAATTCATTTTCTTTTTTGGCTTAGAACTATTAATGTGTACTTTTATGAAATATTTCAATATTATTTTCTTTTGTCAGAAGACATATATAGCTGTAATGTTTGCTTACTTAAAACAAATAAACGTAAGAATTTACTCAACTTAAAAAAATTCAATGTTAGCAAACTTATTTTTGCAGTATGTTAATTCACAGTTACTCTCTCCATTAACAGTTAAAATGGACTGGCTTTAAATTTAAGACAACCAAATTTGGAAGTAGAAACTTCTAATTCTTATCTGTAAATGCTATTACTGTGTTATTACTAATAATAACAATATGAGGCCAGGGGTGGTGGCTCATGCCTGTAGTCCCAGCACTTTGGGAGGCTAAGGTGGGACAATCACTTGAGCTCAGGGGTTTGAGACCAGCCTGGGCAGCATGGTGAAACCCATCTCTACAAAAAATACAAAAAATTAGCCTGGTGTGGTGGTGTCAGCTACTTGAGAAGCTTAGGTGGGAAAATTGCTTGAGCCTGGGAGGTCAAGACTGCGGCCAACATGTTTTGAGCACTTACAGTGGTAGCTGCTATTTAAGCACTTCACAGGTATTACTTGATTTAATCTTCATGGTAACTTGACAAAAGGTCCTATTATATTTTTGTTTGTTTGTTTTACAGATTTCTTCATTTAACAGATATTTACTAAGTACCTTTAAGTGCTAAGCACTGTTCTACATACTAGTTTATATCAGGGAACAAAACAAAAATCCTTGTTCTCACGGAGTTTAGGGTCTAGCCAGGAGCAATAAATAATAAACATTAAAGTAAATTTTATAGTGTCAAATAGAATTGAGAAAAATTAAAGGTACAGCAGGGTTAGAGAGGGTAGGAGTACAAATAGGGCGTAAGAAAGGAGAAAAAAGTTGCCATTGTAATATAGTGGTCCGGGTAGGCCTTGGTGAGAGGGTTTCATCTGAGCAAGACTTACTTCTGGGTGAAGAAACGAAGAGACAAAAAAGCTAAGTAATTTGCCTACAATCACAATGCATGAATAACTAATAAAACAACTCAAATTCAAACATAAATTTCTGACACCAATCCTGTGCTCTTCACCATAATATCTGTGAATCATCTGGGGAGCTTGCTTAAAATGTAGGTTTTGAGTTGGAGGATGGGGAGCTGCGTTCTTTAGTACAGGTGATTTCTATAACACGAAAGTTTAAAGACCAGTGCTTTCAACGTCAATCAGTAATCTCCCAGGAAAAGTCTCTGAGCATATCTTATTTAACTGCAAGTTGTTCTGTTTATGTTATTACTGTAGTTACTCGTTGACTTTCATTGGTTTATTTTGAATGCTGATTCAAAAACAACCTTAACAAACACCAGGTGGGATCCCTGACTTTGTTAGAGGGCACAGTATCTGGTTTCATGGTGCTTGTATACTAAACAAGTGAAAATGTATTTTTAAATTCCAATTCAAAAAACTAGCTCTTGGCCAAACACAAGCAAAAAATATTAACAAAGTATAAGACTTAGCCTCTCTTGTAATTTCCCTTTACTTCAGCTACTGGATGTGAAGAGGTGAATGTTATTTTAACCACAATCCTTTACAGACTACTGTTTCTTCTTACTCACCTTCAGTTGTACTTCCTCTTTTGGCAAAACAAGGGTGAATTTTGCACAATTCTTTTCAGTTGAATTTTGGTCAGTAAGACATGTGAGGTCTATTATGTCTAATTTGTCAACATACTGCAAATATAAAGGAAGATAACATTACATTATTTCATAGGTAATACACATTAGTTCTAGCAGAAAGCAAAGTAATATCTTCCTTCCAACTGATTAGTACTTTACATGATACCCTGGTTTTCCTAATCCCACAGGACATGTGGAAATATATTATGTGGTGGTATGCTGAACCTGGCTCACACAGATTTGCAAAAGCCAATTGTTAATTTTCAGGAATTTTGTAAACAGGTTAAACAGCCATTATTAAAAATTAAATTATTAAACATACCAATAAATAAATTACAGTCCAATCAAAAGTAATTAGGCCAGGCACAGTGGCTCACACCTGTAATCCTAGCACTTTGGGAGGCTGATGCAGGCAGATCACCTGAGATCAGGAGTTCGAGACCAGACTGACCAACATGGAGAAACCTCATCTCTACTAAAAATACAAAATTAGCTGGGCATGTTGGTGCATGATTGTAATCCCAGCTACTCGGAAGGCTGAGGCAGGAGAATCGCTTGAATCCAGGAGGTAGAGGTTGTGGTAAGCCGATATCGCACCACTGCACTCCAGCCTGGGCAACAAGAGCAAAACTCCATCTCAAAAAAAAAAAAAAAAGTAATTAAAACACAATTTGTTACATTCTAATTATATTTCTACAATTTGCTGTTCTCTATGTTCTTAAGGTAATTTACATCTTCATTTCTGTATGGGGAAAAATACCATATAATACTGTGCTTTTCTACCCAAATATATGTTCAGTGAGATCATATTGATAGTTTGAAATCAGCCATGGTGGGAGTATTTTACACCATGAAAACTGATAAACCTTACAAATCAATCTTGATTTATTATTTTATTGATGTCCAGGGGCAGCACTTATTATTTTTTTTTTTTTCACAAAAGGTCAAACAGTACCATACTTCAGGCACACATACAGTCTGTTGCACAGTCTTTGTTTTTGTTTTCTTTAGAAACGCTTCAAATACATTTGGCTGGGTGCAGTGGCTCACACCTATAAACCTAGCCATTTGGGAGGCTGAGGTGGGCAGATCATAAGGTCAAGAGATCGAGACCATCCTGGCCAACATGGTAAAACCCCATATCTACTAGAAATACATAAACTAGCAGGGCATGGTGGCAAATAAATTGCTCACATTCATTGATTTTAACGAATACATGATGTTTTGACATAAAACATTATTTTATTTTCTTTTTACTCATTAATGTAAATGAAAATATTAGATAATATTCATGTCAAATATCACATTTAATAATAAATTTATTATGGAAATAGCAGATTTAAATACCATTTCAATCTCTGTCAAATTATGATTGAATTATCTTAATAGTTGGTTACCAATCCAAGAGTTAGGCAAAAATAAAGGAAAACATTCTGTGAAAATCAATTGTCATTATGAACACTACAATAAAGACTACTGTGTATTTTTCTAATTGTGTACTATACACTTTATATCACTAATATTTGTAATACGTTTATGTACACATATATTCATAATTCTTTCTAGAAAGCTATTCAACATTTACTACACACCACTGATTATGGCATTCCTATTAAGAAATTCCTATCCTATCCAAGTATAATAAAAATATTTCTTCTGAGAAGTCGGTTGCTCAATTTCCACTGTCTATATGCAATGGACTTGCCTTCTAGTAGTAGAAAGAACCACCTGTAATAAGTATAGCGGGGTTTTTATGATATATATATATTTGCTAAATTAGCCTCATTCTTGAGTTCTTTTTATCTCCTTTTATGTTTCTTTCAATTGTGCCCAATATAACTTATTTTATTGTATATTTGTAAGTCTTATTTTTCTGAGTAAGGTAGGACATAAAAATAGGTATATAATTTTTTTCCCAGAGCTATTTCCATATTGGTGAGATAGATAGTAAGTTTGAGTTGGCCTGCTTATTTCCAATTTAACCATTCCATAATGTATATACACTTCAAAACACCATGTGTACATAATAAACAGTTTTATATGTCAATCTTAAATAAATTTAAAAAATATGAAAGGAGAGGTACAAGTGAAGAAAGAATCTAAAATTAAACAGAAGTCTTTTTCTGAGGGATTGTCTAGATCAAGCTTAGTGAGTTTTGCTGCAACAAAGGAGGAAGCAACAGAGGAAGAGGTGACAGTTAGATAGAGTGCAGTAGCCTGATCCGTTGATTAGAGGAAAGGGAGTCATATCTTTTTGTTTTTATTTGTATCTTGTGAAGAGGCTTAAAGGTCATCTGTCTAATCTTGCTGCCATCTGATGGCATCTCTGCCAGGGTATCCTTTCATTAGTCATCCAGCCTGTGTTCAAACATCCCTAACATGGAACTCATGCCTCCTGAGCACTTCTGCCTAATAGCAAGGTTTTGCTTGTATTAAGCCCCAACTTTTCTACAATTTTCATCCATTGCTCCTAATCTCTTCTTTCTGGAGTAACACAAAACAAATTCAGTGACCCTTTCACATGACTTCCTGACAGCCTTTCAAATATTTAAAGGCAACTTTAAATTCTTCCCTGTTGTAAGATAAAAATCTACACTCTCACCTTGTCTATCTTAGTGCTTTCTTCTAAGACTACCACTCAAAAAAGTTCCCAAAAGGTCTGTATATTCTTTTAACAAAATTGGTAGATGGGCAATTCTGAGTCATTTCATTATAACTATCTTCTCATGGCATTTTGATGAAGAAGGCTAGTTTAGGAGCAAGACCTGGATTGTACCTTTCATATTACCTCTCTGACCTTGTACAATTTGTTAATCTTTAATCTTCACTAATTTCATCTATAAAGCCGGGGTTAAAATAGCAGCCATTCTGTAGAGTTGTGAGAAGTAAATTAGACAATGCATGTAAAATGCCTGAATGCTGACTATATGCCAGTTACTTTCTTGGATCCTTACATGTACTACCTTATGTAATTATTTTGAGAACCTTATCAAATGGACTACTATTTTTATTCTTATTTTAGAGATTTGAAGGTTGTGTTGGAGATCTTTCGTTTGCTCTTTTAGATTCACTTTTATTCCTTCACCACCCAACACTGCACCAGAAGAGAGACCTGTATGGATAACATCGAGGAGCTCCGTACCCTTTGAGTTCCTGTTGGGTTGGACCACTGGAGAATGGTGGCAGAAGATCAGAAGACTGAGGCCAGGTATTTTTTACCCAACGCAGTTGCTCCCTCAATCAAATATCATACTCTCCTCAAGGCAGTCATCTCTACACAATTCTCACTACTCTCCCACTCTTTCCTCTCAGTCCTAGATATGGTAATGGACATTGTTATTCACCTCAGGGTTCTGTACTATCTTTTGTAATTTTCATACACTCTGTTCACTGCTTTGCATATTTATTAAAGCTTTATTAAATTCTCTTCAAATTGTCCAATTCGAGATCTCTTTTGTTTCCTACCAGTTCCCTGTCTGTTAACACTGAGACACAGATCAGATAACTAGCTCAAGATTCCACAGCTAACAGTGGCAGGGCTAGGACAAACACCCAGGCAAGTTGTCCAAAGAGACCAGGCTCTCAATTACTAATCTTTACTGCCTCTTGCCGTGTAGTAAGTGAGCAACAACTGTTAGCTCTCTCATTTACGGTGCATTAGAAAAGGTTAAAATGAAAGCTCTTTTACATTTACTGAAATCAGTGGGAAATTGGAATGCATAAAAGAGAAATTAATTTTGTAAAATTTATTATGGTATTTGAAAACACTCTTGTATAAATCTTGTCTATACAGGACTCTGGTAAAGATGACTATGTTTGTTTTTTATTTGTTTATATTCAGTGGTTTCTGCCTGGTTTGTCACAAATGGCACTGAAATGATTTCACGTGGAATACATTACACAGATTATTTTTCTGTCTCTTTCATTAGATGTTAGCTTCTAATAATGCAGTTCTAGGAAGTGTGGGCTACTATATCCAGATCCAGAATGTTTATATTTAGTCAGGTTACTGGCTCATAAAAACTCCTATAAATATAGTGTTTCAAGGTAGGTAAGCATTTGCCACTAAAATAATACATCTTATTCCTGGAAAAAACTGAAACATACAATCAGAATTTGAAATAAATATGCATAAGTAAACCTTAGAATCCCTTTATTGTTATTCTCATGTTTAATCCCTTGGAAGTCCTGCTTTGTGGGATATGTTTTTGTCTTTTTATAAAAGTTAAATAGCGGCTTTGTATGCTCTGGAGATCGTTTTGTCCCTTTCCAATTATAACTGCATGCTACAACAGATCAAAAGTGGGAGAAATTGAAGCTATCACTTGGTATTAAGCAATAAATGTGCAGATGTCTTGTTAAAATTTTTCACTTTTTAGCTAAGTTTAGTTATCAGAATCAGAAAGAAAAGAACGAAAAGTAAAAGAAATGAGTCAAGGCCGGGCGCAGTGGCTCAATCCTGTAATCCCAGCACTTTGGGAGGCTGAGGCGGGTGGATCACGAGGTCAAGAGATCAAGACCATCCTGGTCAACATGGTGAAACCCCGTCTCTACTAAAAATACAAAAAATTAGCTG